CTCGGTCTCACAATTGATCTGATTATCGATCTCACAATCGATCTCACATTCGGTCTCACTATCGATCTCACTACCGATATCACAATCGATCTAACATTCAACGTCATCATCATCATCATCATCACAACACCATCATTTTCATCGTCATCGGGACACTGTCGTCATCATCATCATCATCGTCATCATCATCAACGCCATCATCATCAGGCCATCATCATCATCCCCATCATCATCTCATCATAGTCAGCAACATCATCATCATCATCATCATCGGCACACAGCCTTCGTCATCATCACCATCAGCATCATCATCATCGGGACACCATCATGGTCACCATCATTGTCATCGTCAACATCATCAACAACATCGGGACACCATCATCATCATTTAATCATCATCATCATAATCAACAGCATCATCAACATCATCGGGACACCATCATCATCAGCAGCATCATCGTCACCAACATCATCATCAATATCATCATCGGTACACCATCACCATCACCATCATCATCACCACCGTCATAATCATCATCATCGGGATACCATAATCATCATCAGCAGCATCATCATTACCAACATCATCATCAACAACAACGGGCAGAAACATCAACATCATCGTCATCTCATCATCATCAACAACATCATCAACATCACCAGCGGGACACAGCCATCGTCATCATCACCATCAGCATCATCATCATCGGGACACCATCATGGTCACCATCGTTGTCATCGTCAACATCATCAACAACATCGGGACACCATCATCATCATCAGCTCATTATCATCATCATCAACAGCATCATCAACATCATCGGGACACCATCATCATCAGCAGCATCATCATCACCAACATCATCATCAATATCATCATCGGTACACCATCACCATCACCATCATCATCACCACCGTCATAATCATCATAATCATCATCAGCAGCATCAGCATTACCAACATCATCATCACAACAATGGCAGAACATCACATCATCGTCATCTCATCATCAACATCATCAACACATCATCATCATCATCATCATCATCTCATCATCCATCATCATCATCACCAGGACACCATCATCGTCATCATCATCACCATCAACACAACCATCATGATCATCATCAACATCATCATTATCGGGACACCGACGGGGCACCGACGGGACACCGGCGGGACACCGCGGGCCCCCGGCCGCCCAAGGGAGTCATTTGGTCCGGCCGCGCCTCAGCCACACGGGACACCGGCGGACACCGGCGGACAACCGCGGCCACCGGCCGCCCGGCGGAGAATCATTTGGTCCGGCCGCGCCTCAGCCACAGGAGACTTTCCTCTCGCCCGCCCACGCAGCTTCGCCTCGCCCGCACGGCACGCACGAACACGAAACCGAAATCGATTTCCCGGTAGTGGGGCTCTCCGTTCCACTTCGATCTCACCCCCTCACCTCCGACATTTGCGCACACCTAGATACACATTCACATATACATGTGTACTCATGTATATATGCACATGTATGTGTATACATCGAAATGTGCATATGCACTTGTACATGTGTATATGTCGATCGATACTTGTATCATTCACCGCATGCCGAGACCCCCGAACATCGACTCCCCAGGCGGTCGCTATGGGTACATCCCCGCCTTGTACATCCCCCTCCCAACCGTCCCCGCAGGCGCTTCGGCGGCCTGAGGGAGCATCTATCACGCAGAAGCCCCCCCTCTCTGCGCATAGCACTCAGCTCACCGCGCGCGGGACAAAAAAAATCGTCCTGGCCCCGCGTGGTGAGCGCCACTCGAGGACGGTCTGGCGCACGGGCTTGCAGCAGCACTCGGGCGTGGCAGAGGGTCTTCTCATGCCAGCTAGCGTGTCACAGAGGCTCCGAATGATTCGAGGTCTGGCCCGCGGGCCACCAGCGAGCGGGCCTCCCTCGCACGTGTGCCCAAAACGCACAGCGGTGCTGGGTGCCGTCGCGCGGCGAAGGCTGGACGCTCGCGAGATGCTAGCTACTGTTTGCGCCATCCAGCTGGTGGCCCGCTCACTGCTCCTGTACCTCCGAGTGTCCCGCATTCTGATCCCGAGCCCCTCGCGCCCACGCTGGGACGCGCCCGAGTGTAGCCCCCGCCCTCCCTCTCCTCTCTCGGGGGCGGCCAGGAGGGGGGCGTCCAAGAGGGGAGGGCGCAAAGCATGGCCGGCGGCGCGTGCGCGGCCCAGGGGGGGGCCGGGGATGTATTGAAATGAGGAGAGGCGCCATGAAAGCTGGGGAGACGCCATGGCTCCCGCCATGATATCCCCCCCCCCCCTCGCCATCACCCCCCTCTTGGTCGCCCCCGACTCTCTGCGCGTCGCATCAGTATCCAAAGGCCTTGGGGCGCCGCGCCACGCGAGCAATGCGACAGGCTATCCCGTGCGCAGGGCCCGCCACCACCGGGCAGACGGGCGGTGCGCAACCCATCCTACTGATGGGAAGCAAAGTGCCGGCACTGGGCACGCAAGCTCGCAGCCGAAGCCCACGCTTCCGTCCTTCAGTGTCTGAGGCACTGGGCGGGCGAGAAGCGCGAGGTCCTCCTACTGAGGGGTAGCCACTGGCGCTGCAGGGGACACGTAGGAGATGCACGGGCACGCCGAATTCTAGAAGCGCTGCCGAGGAGACTGGAGGGCCCAGGACAAGCCGAGCGCAGAGGCGCGGCACAGAAGGAGAAGAGCCAGAGGAAGCACCGGTGCGCGCAGCGCGCAGGTGCCTTGCGTGAGCGTGACAAGGGGGGGATGGGAAGTGGAGGCGGCCAGGAGATTGTTTTGTGCCGTTTCTGGCAGCGGTCGTTCTGCGAGGGGGGGGGGCTTGGGGCCTTGGGTGACGGCAACGTTTGGGCGGGGTGGGGCACGTCGGGGCGGGGGTGCGCTGCGATCGCCACAGTTTCCGCGCGAGCGCCAACATGTGCGGGGGGAGTCCCCCTCCTTCGTACCATCGCTACCGCTACCCATGCGGGGGAGGGGTTTGGCCGGGGTAACAGCCGGCATGCGCGCCACAGGACACTAAAACAAAATCTCCAGGGGGGCTGGGCTGAATAAGCCAAGAGAAAATCTGTCAAGAGGGGGGATGAGGGCAAATTCATTCGAATTCAATCCCCAAGCCCCTCCCAGGGTCGAAACTGACAAGTGGCCGATTCCAGAAACCCTGAACCCAAACACACTTTCATCATCTCTTTGGGGCGCATCTTTTACTTCCACCGACCTTCCGCCACCTTTCCGCCGCATTCCGCCGAGGACGAGATGGCAGCTCCTTCGACTCTCGACGGCAAGGCCCTTTCTGGCACGCCCCGTTCGGTCGTGCTGGCCAAAACCAGTGCTGGGCCACCTCAGCCCCCCAGCTGGCTCCAGGATGAGAGAGGGCCTCGCAGGGGGGGGGAGCAGGAGATGGAGGAGCCACCACGAGCGGCGAACATATCCGCATCCGCGCCCTCGCGATCTGGACTCCGGGGCGCGATCCCAAAAACACGCGGCCGCACGGACACGTTCCGCGCGGGGCATCCGCGACACAACGCCTCGCATCCGCGGGGCGCGGCCCAGGGGACCGGCCCGCTGGGCCGCGGATACGGATACCCCAGCTCGTGCTGTGTCGACCCGGCGTTGGTTCCTGACACCGCGGGGAACATTCAACCCTGAGCGAGCGGCCGTCTCCGAAACGTCAGATCGTTCCACATCGGCCGATTCTGGGCCTCGAACGCCGGCGGCGGGGTCGCCGCCGGTCGACACGACGCGAACCTACCGTACAGTCGGGCTGCTGAAAGAAGGAACACTAAATAAGGAACGAAGCCCCGTATTGGCCCTCTAAGCGCCTCTGTGCCCCAGGAGGGCAAGAGGAACAGCACTGGAGGAACCTAAGGAACGTCGAGCCCCTTCCGAAACCAAACTGCTCCGTATTTCAGCGTCTGGACTGTATCCAAATCTGCGCCCTCGCTCGGCGGCGCGCCCAGGGGGGAATGAGATGGGGCGGGCCCTTAGTGGGCCCCGGAAACAGCAGGGGCCCCTTTTTTCACCGTTTCCGAATAAGTGTCCCTTGAAAATGGAAACGGGGGGGGGAAAAAAAAAAACAGCGACCGGAAACGGCGACAAAAACGGCTCCAGGATTGGAACCGGAGCGGGAACCCGTAAAAGAACGGCGACGGAACCGGTCAAAAAACAGCGTCGGAACCGGCAAAGAAACGGCAAAACGGAACCGGTGAAAAAACAACCCTGTCGTTTCCAGGGCCTTCTAAGGGCGGGCCTGCTCAGAAGGCTCGGGAGGCCCCGGGTCCTCCGGAAGGGAAGAGGTCCTCGAGGCCTTCCCCGAAGGCAGGGCGCAGGAGAAGCCTCGCAAGAGGCCCCCCGCGGCTTCCGAAAGGCCCCGCCGCCTCCCGAGGAGGCCAGTTCCCCCTCGCTTCCCCCCTGGAGGAGGAGGAGGAGGAGGAGGAGGAGGAGGAGGAGGAGGAGGAGGAGGGGGAGGAGGGGGAGGAGGAGGAGGGGGAGGAGGAGGGAGAGCAGGAGGAGGGGGAGGAGGTGGAGAAGGAGAACGGGGAAAAGGAGGCTGGCTTGACACCATTGCGCCTGCCCAGAATCTATTCTCACGATACGTTCGATTCCCATGTCGGTAACCTGTATCGCTGGCCCTCCTGGGCTTGTGTTTTCTTATTACCATACTGTGCAGTGTTTTTTTTAGGGGGGCGCGGTAGATCCTGAGGATGGAAATAAAGTCGTTTCCACGAGCCCCGAAACCTATTCGATGTTGTTTGTAACCCTATCCGCGGTCTGATAAATCAAACTACGATGCCCCATGTACCCGAACAAAACTGTGCGTTCGCCCACGAGACGCCAATCCAGATTTGACCAGGAGGAGCGGGACAGTGAGAATCCAAGGAACCACGCGAGCACACTGCCCAAAACTTTGGCGATTCCCTGTTAAAAAATCCTCCTCCTCCTCCTCCTCCTCCTTCTCCTCCTCCCTCCTCCTCCTCCCCCACCTCCACTTTACGTCGTAGGTGTTATTGTGCTCTGGGTCGTCCACGAGGAAAGGCAGCGCGCACTCGTAGTCGAATCCGCCCGTGGTGAACTTCACGGTCTTCCACTCGAGCATGTGCGTCGCGATCGGATCTGGCTTGGCAGACTCGGTATTGGCCTTTTTTTTCGGAGCTTGATTCGCTGCCACGATGTCACTGTCGCCCTGGTCCTTGACAGCGCCAGGCGGCTTGTCGTCCTGCTTGGTCTTCTTGATCGGCAGCGGTGGGATGCTCCAAGCCAGGCAGCCGTCTGTCTTCAAGAGGTTCGAACTCGTGAGCCCTTTCATGTAGAGACGCGACCCATTCCCGCTGTTGTCCCCGACGGGGAGGCAGCACCATTTAGCCACGGTGCGCGCGGTCTTCTCGTCGATGATCTTGCCCCAGTACGGCAGGCGCACTGAATCCTCCACTGACTTGTCGGAAAGCTCGAACCTGTGGACGTCGAACTTGTGTTTCTTCTGCGCGGTCTGCTGCTGTTGCCCGATCGCGTCGACGTTGAAGCCATCCGAGACGATGAGCAAACCCTCGACGTTGCCGCTATCCGAGTAGGCCGCCGCTGCCTCCAGCATCGCGTCGCCGATGATCGCATTCAGGCGATGGGAGGCTGCCTTCATGGCGACCGGCGTGTTCTGGCCCTCGGTCTGAACCAGCTTCGACCACCACTTCGACGCGATGCATGCATTGCGCTTGTCGTTTTGCTCGCCGCTCGAAGCGGCGCTCTTCTTCCCCTGATCCACCGCCTCCCAAACAGCAGGGCCCAACTTGTCCCCGAGGCGCTTCATGAGCAGATCCTTGATGTTCTTCTTGATCGCGTTGGCCTCCAAGGCGCCGGCGTAGCAAGCCTCGAGCACCTCGCTCGCAATCGTCTCGCGGACCGTAAGGAAGAGCTCGATGTCCTTCTTGATGATGGTTCTGATCGAGATGCCCTCCTGCGCGAGCTTCGACTTGCAGGTTTGGCACGCGCCCGACCCTGCAAACACCTTCGTGTGTTTATCTCTGTCCGCCTCGATTGTAGAGACGTTGTGCTGATCGAGAAACACATCCATGCTCAGCAGCTCCTTCGCCCATTCGCTGACAGAGACAAGATCGATGATGGGCGCGAGGAAGTTAGGGGCAATGAGAAACGCCGCCGCGCCGTGCTTCCCGATGTCGAAGGCTTCGGCCATCTCGCCAACGACGCCCCTGAAGTACTGCGGGAAGAGACACAGCGGACATGCGGAAGCCGCAGGAAAACTCGGGCACATCATCGGCCCGATCGCCTCCGCAAGGTGGAACATCAAGCGGTTGCGCACAGCATCGACAAGGCACGCGGCGAAGGTTGATGCGTCGAGCTGCTGGAAGGCGCACCCCGTTATCTGCTGCAGGCAGTCGCTCTCCCTTGCAGCGTCCACGAAGCGACCGAGCTCCGTCCACTCCACGGGGATCACCTCCATCGCTTCCTCCGCGCACTTGGCCATCACAACGGTGGCCAAGTCAGTCGACTCCGAGCCGCGCAACCCCATCGCGCACATGAAGACCTCATTCATGCTCAGGGGAGCTGCGCCATGACATTTGATCGGCTTGCCGGTCGGATTCTTCGCCAAGCAGTCCTCGAACGTTCTGATCATGGCTCCAGTGTCGCCGTTATTGAAATATGCGGTCAGGTCAGCTAGACTGGCCGACTTGGACTCGGTCGCGCGGGCCCCCTCCTCGGCAAGTGCATCTGCTAGTGCCCACTCTGCGCGTCGACGTCGCTGGGTCGCGCTTGAAGCTTCGCGGCCCTCAGTGCGTCCATCTTCCACTGGACGCGAAGGTTCAGCCAGCCGCGAATAGTGCGAGGTAGACCTTGCACCATGACGTCGGTGCCAGCCGCACCGCTGCACACAATGCGAATGGCTGCCAGCTGCAGGTTATTGATCTTGACGGCCTGCTCGGCATCGATATTGAGGAGGGTCTCCTCTGTGCTGTGGAGGTGATGCAGGCAGGTAAGGTCGCCCTCTTCCTCGGCCATATCTGTCTAGGTCAATGGGCACAGTCGCCGACGACGGCGCGCTGCCGCTGGTCGCTGCCGCCTGCTTCTCAGCACTCCTCGCCGCCAACTTTCTCATGATGTGTTTCTTGAGGGTGCCCTTCGTCGTGTGCTTCTGCACGCGCTTCTTGTTGGCTGTGTCGTCGGCTTGTTTGGCATCCGCGCGCTGATTGACCAGGGCGGCCTTCTTCTCACTATTGGCCTTCCTCTTTGCGGGCGCCTGCTGCCTGGAGGCGGTGGGCTTGCCGCCCTGCTTGCGTTACTCGAACGTGTTGGTCGTCTTCATCGGTCGAAGTAGCTCGTCGATGTCACGATCGATCAGGACCTTCTGGATCATCGCAATGCCATCTGGTAGAAAGTTGCACTTCGCAGGCGGCGACGCGGTGGGTATCAGCATGGTGGGTATATCAAGTACAGCTTGAGGGCCATGCTCAACTTGTCCCAGATGCTTCACCAGCATCGGCGCGGTGTTCATCAGGTTCCACACGTTCCTGGCCATATCTGGGTTGGTGAAGTCCCCACCTTACAGAACAAGTCGTATACAGCGTCGTACAATGTTTGCCCAGCGTAGTCGCCACTACTCATGAAGATGTTCTTACCTCCTGCGCAGAACTTCGCAATCACGAGGAACCGATTTTTGTAAAACCACCTGCCTGGGAACATTTTCGTGGCGATCTCGCAATGCTTGTCTTCGCATATTGCCATCGAGCCCATGCCGCGCACAGTTCTGTCGCCCTTGAACTCGCAGAATTTCTCCATCACCTGTAATGCGGAATCCCACATCTCCAGCGGGGTGGTGAGCGTGGTGACATCTGCTTCGGCGTTCCCGCGGGCAGCAATCCACTGACGCGCGAAGCCTGGGGTCCGCCTGCTGTAGATCTTGCAGTGCTTGATGCCGTGCTTCAGGATCCTCTCCAAGTTCTTATGATTGGGCTGCTCTGCCCATAGTGCCGCGGCGCTCTGCATCAGCGTAGCTTGGTGGGCCACGTCGTAGCGGTCCTTGACTTTGACGTCGCGCTTCTCGGAAAGGAAGGGGCCTCCGCGATTGTCTATGACGCCCGGCTTCTCCACGCTCTCCTTGCGCTTCTTGATCGACCCAGCGTCTCCGCGACCTTTGTTTTCCACATCTCTGTCGAACGCCAAGACCCCCGTATCAGTCACTGGTTTGATGGTCTCCTCGCCATCCACGAACTGCTGCTGCCCCTCTGGTGAACGGTCCTCGCCGACTAGATATGCCAGGCACTTGTATTTGCCTGTGTCGTTCCACACGTCGGGGCACTGAGCGATCCAGTCTGGCACGTCAGGGTTCTGGCCGCCCTGGCCCACCAGAGCCTGCTGTGGCGCAGGTGGTGGCGCCGCGGGGCCCGAGCCCGCAGCCGCCGCCAAGAGCATGTAGGTTGAGTTGAGTTCCTGCCTTCGCGCGAACCAACTGCGCGCTTGAGCCCACATGGTTACGGAGTGGATGGAAATGAAATGCCGACACCCTGGTAGGAGCAGACAAAGAACGGGAAGACCAGACAAGACGGGAGTACCAGACCAGACGGGAGGACCAGACAGGACGGGAGGACCAGAGAAGACAGGGGGACCAGACAAATAACGGGAGGACCAGACAAAGGACGGGAGGACCAGACAAGACGGGAGGACCAGACAGGACGGGAGGGACATGCAAGGTGACATTGGCTCACATTGCTGCCTCAAGCCGGCCAGGATTTGCCTCGACAATTTTTGCCAAAACCGTGCTTGAAGCTTGTGCGAATAGAATGTTCACATGCCCCTCCGGGACCTCTGGGAACCGTGATTCTAGAATGTTCGCGTGTCCCTCCGAAACCCCCGGGGCAAGCATGATTTGGCTTCCAAACCCACCCTCGCCCACGCCTTCCCCGCCAGCCTCACCACCCCGCAATCCAGCTCATACAGGGCCTATTAACCAAGCCAGACCCAGGCCTGGCGGCCCCGTCGACAAGACGGGAGGACCAGACAAGACGGGGGGACCAGACAAAGAACGGGAGGACCAGAGCAGACGGGAGGACCAAACAATACGGGAGGACCAGACAAAGAACGGGAGGACCAGACAAGACGGGAGTGCCACACAGGACGGGAGGACCAGACAAAAATGGGAGGACCAGACAAAGAACGGGAGGACCAGACAAGACGGGAGGACCAGACAAAGACGGGAAGACCAGACAGGACGGGAGGACCAGAGCAGACGGGAGGACCAGACAAAAAACGGGAGGACCAGACAAGACGGGAGGGCCAAACAGGACGGGGGGACCAGACAAGACGGGAGGACTTTGAAGCCGTCTTGAGGCCCACTTGGGCCCTCCCATGGAATGAGCATCGAAATGTTGAAAATAGTTTGCCCTGGGCCCATATCGCCGCCTTCCCTCACTAACGCTCGACAAGGGGGAAGCAATGCATTCCGCTTGTGCCTCGCGGGAGCATCAGGGCACCCTGGTACCACCTGGTGGGGGCACTTCGTAGCAGCGTGGCCCTTGCT